CAAGGAAAGACTGGATGTCTCACACCTTCTGCAGCTCAGGCCAGTTGTGGACTGCCTGAACCTTCTCAGCAGACATGGTGAGACTGGAGGGAGAAAGGACATAACCAAGGTACTTGATGGAGTTGGAGTGAAACTTACACTTCTCCAGCTTGGCATAGAGACCATGCTTTCAAAGGTGGTGGAGTACCTCTTTTACATGTTTGCAATGCAATGCCATGTCCTGCAAATAAATTAGAATGTCATTGAGGTACACCATGTTGCAGATATTGAGCATGTCTGCAAAGATGCTATTAACAAACTGCTGGAAAGCTGCAGGCACATTAGTCAGACTGAATGGCATTACCCACCACTTGTAAGAACCATAATGAGTGCAGAAAGCCATTTTCCATTCATCTCTGTCTGCAATGTGGACTAGATGATAGACATGGCAGAGGTTGATCTTGGTGTAGACTTTAGCACAGCTTGGAGAGTTGAGTAGGTCAGAGATGAGTGGCAGTGGATAGTGATCTTTTTTCATGATTTTGTTGAGTCCTTGATAGTCTACACAGAGGCAGAGTGAACTGTCCTTCTTCTTTATGAAGAGGACAGGAGCACCACAAGTGAAGGTGGACTGCTTGATGAAACTGTAGCCAAGATGCTCATCAATGAAGGTGCAGAGAGCTTCAAGCTCTGGCAGAGACAGAGAGTCAATCATGCCAATGGGCAGAGAAGCTCCTTCCTCAAGGTCAATCTTGAGATCAAACAAGCAGTGTGGTGGAAGTTCAGTAGCCTTGTCTTTACTAGAGACATTGGCGAACTCATGATACTCAGGAGGGACTGAGGAGGGGTCAGGAGGCAGAGAAGAAGCAGAGGATGCACGAAACTTTACATCATCAGCAGAGAGCTGCAGGTGGAATTGTCTAGAGCCAGGGAGAGCACAGGCTCTGACATACACAGCAGCATTGATGAGTGAGATGAGCAGAGCAGAGTGTGGTGAGTCTGTTGGAGGTGCAGATGGAGCAGAGGGTATCAGATCCAGAGCAGAGGTCACAGTGGTGTAGGGAATGTAATTTCCCTACCAGGGGAATTGCCTTATTTTGCTCATTTTACTTCATTTTCATTCTAGATATTTTTTTCTATGAGTTGCACTTAGATTTCGCATTTTTGGTTGCTTGGTCAGCAGTAGTGCTACTTGTGTATGGTTTTTTCCTTTAGAAGGAATAGACAAGTTACCACAGACAAGAGACAAGCTTGAACAGGTCATTCCCTGCACAAAGACAGCCATAGAAGCCTTCAGATGACTACCAGGATCCAGTCCCATGCTATAGAAGCCCCTTTTGGCCTACTCATTCCCCTCAGATATCCCTACTAAACCTCTCTCCTCTCTTAAAATCCTTTTCCTACAGCAGAAGGTGACAAAGGCACCTGGGGTGTCAGAATTCCCTGTAACGATGGTTTGAATGATATACTGCCCAGTACCCAGTCAATTGACAGATTGAAGTGGGTGAGCCAGTTGTGTCCTAATACCAGTGAACATGAAGAATCCAATGGAGTAACATAGAACAAAACAGAGTTGACATCGCTGGAAGGAAAGCAGAGGGAAAGATCTACTTCTTGGGAAATGACAGCATTTGTACTACCATCAAACAAGCAGAGCAGAATTGGCAGAGAAATGGAGGAAACAGGAATAGCATATTTTTTGATTATGGATGGGTCTATGAAACAATGAGAAGAGCCAGAATCAATTAACACAGAAACAGTATCAACAGAATAATCAAGAAGAGTGACAGATGGAAGTAAAGAATTGGGACTAGAGAGAGCAGACATGTTGAGTCAGATGTCCAGTTGTGCACAGTTGGGATCAATGCTTCCTCCAGGCTGTGCAAGCTCCCTGGAGGAGTGGACTAATTTTTTGGCTCTGCCTTCTCCACAGGTGGAGGAGGCAGAGTTCCAGCTGTAGCTGCATGGGCTTTGGCTGCACAAGAGGTAGACTTGGGACAGTCCTTGGTGGAGTGGCCAGCCTCACCACAGAAGAGGCAGAGGTTGTTTTTCATCCTGTGCTGTTGTTCAGCAGAGGTGAGTTTGCCATCCTTGCCCAGAAGATGGGCAATATTAGACTTGGATGTGTTGGACTTGGGCAGGTCTTTCTGTTTGCCCTTGCCCTTGGCATCGGACCTTGGAGCAGAGGCAGAGGACAATGATTTAGGCTTGTTGTTGGAGTTGGAGGACTGCAACTTCTCAGTGGCAGACCTGGTGGTGCACAAGACCTCCACTTTATGCTCCCAGTAGCATGCATTGATGGTCTGAGCAAGTTTGCAGAGTTGTACAAGGGTAGAAGGTTTTCCAATGTGAGCAATCTCATCCTTGATGTGGTCTGGAAGTCCACTATGAAAGTGGTGGCAGAGTGCACCAACACCATAGTCTTTGACCTGTGAAGCCCAGCAATTGAACTCCATGACATATTTAGTAATTCTAGAGCCATCCTTCATAGTAAGGTTCTTGAGTTGTTGGATGGCATCTGCAATGGTGTCATGCAGACCAAAATTAGTTGTGAGCTCTTGTAAGAACTCATGATAGTCGTCCATCCAGAGCAGATGGTCATAATTGTCAGGGTTTAGTAGGTCTGGCTTGAACCAAGCCAGAGCCATACCCTGAAGGTAAGACTGAGTGAAGGTAACCTTCACCCTGTTGGAGCAGAATGTGCAAGGGTGGTCTTGAAAGTTTAGCTCACATTGTACAAGGAACTTGCAGAGTTTCTTAGGGTTGGAGCCATCAAAGGTGTCAGGCTTGTGGACTTTGGGTTTCATAGCAGAATCCCCAGTGCATGAACCAGATTGCACAAGCACATGGACAGCTCTAGCAAGAGCTATGAGGGGATCCTCTGGTGGCTCAGCTGGGTCTTGGGGGATATCCCTGTCACTGCTGCCCCCACTGTTGGGATCACCATCAGGATAATCAGGGTTGGGGTCAGGTCCATCATCTCAGTTATGAGGAGATGGAGTATGGAGGTTTGTTGGGTGGAGGTTTGAGCAACCAGCTTGTGAAGTGCTTTCACCTTCAGCACAGGAGTGGTGTCAAGCAGAGAAGGATTGGAATTGTTTGACAACAGAAGGGAGTCAACATGGATTAGCTAGCACTGCAGTGAGGTTCTCAGTGACCTCTCTCTGGGATTGAGCTGGAGTTCTCATAATAGTGTAAGTTTTTTGGGAGACAGAGAATGAGATCATACAAGTGTGAGTATGAATATACTGTCAAGTCCAGGCCTACTCTGACCAACTCTGACACTAGGCAAGGTCTGGGGAGAGGTTCAGAAGCAAGTCCAACAGAAAGACCAGAACTCTGACTGGTGGAGTGTTGGCAGGAATGAAGTCCACTGAGATAAAGGTGGAGCAGAGTGAGGGTGTCAGGTTTAGCTCATGCGCTACCCCCTTGCATGATCTCAGCCCTCATATTTCAGAGGGAGAGTACAGATGGACAGTCGGAGGTAACTCTGATGGACAGAAGACAGAGACAGAAGGAGCAGGAACTAAGTTGATATTTGTACTGAAGAACAGTGGAGTATGATACATGCTTTTATACTACTATGGAGGTACAGTAATTGGAATCAGAACTGATATATGGAGACTCATAAAACTTCAAGTAACACTTCCTAGATGCCAAATGAAGGGTAGATGGAGGACACACAAATGGGTAACACAGAGCATCCCAAAGAGGAAACAGTCCAGGTGCTAGACCATGCAGTGCATGTGCTGCAGAGTACCTGATCATGTGCTGTCAGGGAGAAGTCTGAAGGGTAGTCACATGACTCCTCAGAGAATGGCCCATGCAGTCCAGTAGGAGAGCAGTACAAGTCTGACAGCAGTTGGAGTGGAGATGACCTGTAAATGTCAGGGGATGGGTGGAGTTGGTGTGGAGTGAGCAAATGACTGGCAGAAAGTGGTGTGGAGTGAGTGAGGACCTAGGATGAATGCATGGTCATGACAGCCAAAGCCAACCTGCTGGATCAAGATCAAGCTCTGCAGCCCTTTCAGCAGTGAAATGAATGCCCAGAGTGAAGTCTGGTGGGTGTGTGGGTAGTGGTTGGAGGCCAGCGAGTGGATTGTCAGGCAGGCTGCACACAATGCAGAACTCTTCCACCATCAGGGCAGGTACTGTCCAAACCTTCTTGGCAACTGGCTTGTACATGAGAGCACAAACCATGGGGTCCATTTGGTAACAATATTGAAAGCAGCTATAGCAGAGGGGTTTAGTATCATCTGAGTGGAGGAGAGGAAAGTGAAAGCAGGTGAGGGTATTCTGGCAGGTATACACCATGGCATGGGTACTGTGGGTGAACTGAAGTTTGTTGAAGTGAAAGCTAGGGAAGACACTGTGGGACTGAGGAATGGGTAGCAGCAGCTGAATAGGAAACAGGATGTCTTAGTAGGCTCTCCCCAACCATTTGGTGGATCACCAATATTCAAAAACCCCATTCAATGATATTCTGGTGACTATGGCAGTGCTTGCCACACTTACAGTATAGGCAGCCCTTGCACCATGGGCATGTGGGTAAGGCATATTCATGGCCACCATTTGGGTCACATAGAATGATCTGCTGTCTGCCATTGGGGTAGTTGTTTGTTACTGCACTCTTGAGGCAGATGAACAGGTGACCAAGAAGCATGTCAAAGTTGGTGTGCTCAATTACCTGGACTTGGAGCATGACTGGCCTGGCACTGAAGTCAAGTTTCAGGTTCTCTAGAATGCCTACAGTAGTGTCCTTAGACACACTAGCAGAGGTCATAGTCATGAGATGGTCACTGTACAATGGGAGCCCAATCTTTTCCCAGATGCACCTGGGCAAGGTGATGATTTCCAAACCAGAATCAAGCACACAATTGATAGTGACATTGGTCCCAGGGACTTTGGCTGTTCAGCATGAGGGACCAGGTGACCATGGCACTCTTGGCAGCCTTGCACCACATCTGGGATTTGATCAAGATGGCACCCCAGCTAGAGGAGAGTTTTGAAATGATCTATGCATGGGTGGAGGGCTGGGACAAGACTTAGGTGAGTGAGCCTTCAGCAGTAGTGTGTCATGTGTTGACAAAAATCCACAGGCCACAGGAGAGGTCAATGAACTTGAGAATGACAAGGATGAATGCCCACCTAACCCCAACCCATTGAAAACTGGCACTCTGGCACCCAAAGCTAACCTTCCATGTGGGGAGTGCAAGAAGGCAAAGGTTGAGTGTGGAGGTCAACCTGGGGAGTCATGTGAGCAATGCAGGCAGGCCAAGCAGAAGTGCAGCTGGGCACTCAGGGTAGGGAGAAAGGTGAGTAAAAGCCATTTGTGACATGTGGAATGAAGGCACTGAACCATGACACAGCACAAGAACTCAGGCAGTGGGGAGATGGCAGCTGGGCTGTTGCACAAGCAGACCAAGTCTGTTATGGTGATGACAACAAGTGACACACCTCCAGCCATGGCTTCAGGGCCAGCAATGACAGGGCTGAAGCTTTGAATTCCAGCATGCAAACCTCCCCCCAGTTGAAGTTCCACACCAACTCCCAACCACCCTTCTCCACCTCTTGCCAATTCTCCTTCGAATTTGAACATGCCTCCTCCCCCCACTTCACAACCACCTCTCTTTCTTCCATCTGCAACTCCAGCACCTTTATGTTGTGCTGAGCGAATGCCTCCTCCTATGGATGAACCTGAGGACTTCAGTGGCAGTGGGATCTTCATTAATCAAATCAGCCTACTGGATGTCCCCCCTGCACCTGACATCAGTATGCAGGACAAATCTGAAGTCCCACCAATCAAAGAAATCTGCCAGTTATAAACCCAAGTGAATTAACTATGCATGAGGCTCTAGTTGAGTGCATTCAATTTCTGGAGAGCAGGGTGGATGACAATGAGTTTGAGCTGAACCAGATCCATCAGATGCTGGGGTTGTTGGCTATGTGAGTAGAGCAGCAGATCAGTGTGGTTCAGGGGCAACATGAAGAGCTGAAGAAGTTGAAGGATCAGCTCAAGGATATGTGAGTACATGTACAGTAGCATAAATAGACTGCCAAATTTTGTTTTTGTGTATCTGTTGGCATCTTGAACAGAATTATCACTAAGTAAGGAGCAGGAAAACAGAATGAATCATCAAGAGATGAGAGAGAGATGAGCAGAATTTTTTTTTTGATTGTGTGTGCAGAGACAGTTTCATTCTATATGAGACAAAGATGATATATATATCAGCAAAAGGAAAAGCAGAGGAAGAGAGGAGAGAAAGGAAAGAAAAAGATAGGGAGAAAGGTGTGCTACCCATCTGACTCATCCACAGGGACACCAGCTAGCACAGGATCTGGCAGCGAATTGTCTTCCAGGTGATCTATCTCATGTGCAGAAAGTCCAGTCAACTGTGTGACTTCAATACAGGAGTTGTTCTGTGGGAAACAGGGGTATAGATGGAAAGCAGTGAAGCAGAACTTGGACATGGCACCATCTAATTCTGCCAGTATGTATGAGCCACTTCTGGTACACTGAATGATGATCATGGGGCCTAGGTACTGCAGTTTGGTCTTGAAATCTAGTTCTCACTTGATATGTGAATTCTGTATGAGGACAAGTGACCCAGGTTTGAAGTCAAAGTCTTGGATGGTGTGTGCAAAATGAGCAATGAAGTCTTTGACTGACATAAAGCAGGATTTCAAGACAAGATCATGGATGTGAGCAAGGTCTTCTGGATGTTTTTGAAGTTGGCAAGCATGGTGAGCAATGAGTTCTGTCATTGAGTAAAACTCTGCCTTGAAAGGTGCTAGGAATGTCACCTTGGCAAGGTTGAAGAGGAGTCTAGGTTCAATGCCATGAGCCATATAGAACAGAGAAAACCCAGTTTCCTTGTGAAATGTAACCCTCTCTGCCCAGAACACTGCAGGAGCAACTTCAGACCATTTTGACACCTCTCCTCCACAACTTTTCACCAATGCCTCCCTCACATCAAAGTGCCATTGCTCAACAACTCTGTTAGCTTGCAAGTTATAAGGTGAGATACATATATGGCAAATTCTGAAAGTCTTGGAAAGCCAGTCAAGGGTGAGAATGTATGGTCCATCATTATCTGTGACAATTTCCACAACTGCACCCCAGTGGCACAAGATCTGCTCAAAGATGAATTTTCTGATGGACCTGCCAGTCTCTGTGTGAAGCATAGCCCACTTTGGGTAGCTGGTGAGTGAACAGCAGGCTTGGGTGACATAGCAAAATCTGTTCAACTTTGGCATTAAAAACATGTCCATGTATGCCTTGTAGAACAGGGGTTCTGGGATAGTGATGACTGGCAGGATATGTATGCAATCTAGATGGCAGATTTGGCATTTGTGGCATGACTTGACAAACCAGCAGACATCCTGCTCTAGCATAGGCCACCAAAAGTGGGTTAGCAAGTGCATGTGGGTCAAGAAGATACCCTTGTGCCCTAGCTTGTCATGGGCCTGGTGAAGGATTTCAAGGTGTTTATAAGGCAGAACCACTAGTTGGTGACATCCCTGAGGCTCTTTTCTCCACAGCTCTCCTCCTTTAATGAAATACTGAGTGGTGAGATGTACTAGGCTCTCTAATTCCCCTTCCACCAATCCCTCTGGTGTCTTTATTGTCTCCAAAAACTCCTTCACCACTTTCAACCTCTCCTCTCTTTGGATTGCTTTCTCTGATCATGGAATTTCCATTTTGTAGTTATGCAGCAAGGATTGTTTGGAGGAAAAGATGCCTAGACTCTGTGGTAAGGCTGAGGGTGAGCCTGACAGGTACTCATAATTTCTGTAGGGTAAGGCTGAGACTCAAAATGGGCCTCCCTACAATTCAAGAGTTTGACAGTGAAAGTTCCACACTCATCTATCCAATCCTCATGGTCCTTCTCCCCATCCTCATCTTGTTCTGCTCTCAGTCTCCTTGAAAGTCTGTCTGGTGCTGTATGCTTGTGGGCTGGAATGTGTATGAGCTCAAAGTTGAATAAAAGAATTCTGGCAATCCAACAGTTTATGGTCACATTGGGCTGTAAGTTGGGATTGTTAATCATCCCTTTTATATTGAGCATTGACCTCTACAACTAAATTCTGCATGCCAAGAATGTAAAGTCTGATGTCACGTAAAGCACAAAAAAAGACCAAAGAGCTTGAGTTTAGCTTGGCTGTAGCAGTGTTCACAGTCATTGAGAGTTATCAAGCCAAACCTTGCAGGGTAACATTTTTTGTCTTCCCCCTCCTGCATGAGGAGGTACCCTACAGCAATGTTCAAGGTGTTGACTGCTAGAATGACCTTTCTTTTGGAATAGTAACCAATAGTATGTAGTGCAGGGGACAAGATGATAGCCTGGTGAAGATATTCCATGGCTTCTCTGTGTTCATCACAGAATTCAAAGGGAACATCTTGCTTGGTGAGCTCAATGAGGGGGCATGCATGTTTAGTGAAATCTTTGATGAAGATCCTGCAATATGAGCAAAGACCTAAAAATCTGTGCACTTCAGTAACATTTGTGCAGTAAGGCCAATCTTTAATTTTCTGGACTTTAGCTTCATCTAGAATTCTCCCTTTGAACGACACCTTATGCCCAACCACTATGATAGACAGTGCTATGATGACACACTTCTTGGCTGAGACAGTAGCTCCTGCATGACATAGATGGTGTAAGACTCAGTTGACATTCTGTAAGTGTTCCCAGATGAAATGTCTGATCCCAGAATTTTGTGGGATTGTCTTGTAGGTACCATCAGAATTTTGGTAACAGGATTTTGGACCTTTACTTGGGCAGTCATTGATGAACAGGATGATAACCTTTGGAATTTCATCCTTCAATGTCCAACAGACATCTCCATGGGAAATCTGGATGGCATTTGTGTAGCCCATAGGTAGTTTAGTGAGTCAAAGGGTGCCAATAGGGGTTTGGAAGGTAGTAAGTTCATGGTATTCATCATGTATAGTATGATGGTTGTATCTGACCATAAGATCTAAAATTCCATAGACAGAATGGCAGGCAAAGGCTTCTGCAATTGAGTCAACAAAGGGAGGAACAGCCAAATTCTATATAGAAATGGCATTCAGGGGTTGTAAGTTGTGGACAATGCACAGAGATTTTCCATCCTTCTTGACTATGCAGAACCATTTCAATTGATAGGATGAGGTGGATGGCTCATAGACACCTGCAGAAATCCTTTCTTTGATCATGTTGATGATGTCACAAAAAGTAGCTGGGGGTATGGGGATATTCCACTCAACCCAAGGCTTGTGAGCTAGCATAGGTATCTTCAGGGGTGGAAACATATCTTCTTGAAAAGTTACTCTTTCCAAGGCATCCCAAGCGAAGGCAGTCTTGTGTGTCTTGACCAGCCATCATACCAGATTTAACTCCACAGGCCAGAGGAACCTTGTGGGGTCCAGATCAAGCTTGTCAGCTCTTTCCTGGGTAAACTGGGAGCCTGGCATGAATGGGGGAGGATGAGTAGGTAACACAGGTTTGGTAAATGCTATTGAGGGTGGCTATATCAGAGTGGTTTAGTATTGTCTGAGTGGAGGAGAGGAAAGTGAAAGCAGGTGAGGGTATTCTGGTGGGTAAACTCTGCAGCATGGGTACTGTGGGTGAACTGAAGTTTGTTGAGGTGAAGGCTAGGGAAGGCACTGTGGGACTGAGGAATGGGTAGCAGTGGTTGAATAGGAAACAGGATGTCTTAGTAGGCTCTCCCTGACCATTTGGTGGATCATCAATATTCAAAAACCCCATTTGACAATACTCTGGTGACTATGGCAGTGCTTGCCACACTTACAGCATGGGCAGCCCTTGCACCATGGGTGCATGGGTAAGGTGTATTTGTGGCCATTGTTTGGGTCATGGAGAGTGATCCACTGTCTGCCATTGGGGTAGTCATTTGTTACCATACTCATGAGGCAGATGAACAGGCAACCAAGCAGCATGTTGAAGTTGGCATGCTGATTACCTGGACTTGGAGCATGACTGGCCCAGCACTGAAGTCAAGTTTCAGGTTCTCTAGAATGCCTACAGTAGTGTCCTTAGACATGTTAACAGAGGTCACAGTCATGAGATGGTCACTGTACAATGGGAGCCCAATCTTTTCCCAGATGTGCCTGGGCATGGCAACAATTTCCAAACTGGAATCAAGCATACAGTTGATAGTGACATCAGTCCCAGGGACTTTGGCTTTGATGCAGCAGAGCAGTAGGGTGTGGTGAGCCACAATGGAACTGTCATCACCATGGATGACATGGTCTCCATATTCATGTGTGGTTCAGTGTGGGTCATGGCTAGTTAATTCATTTACATGCACTCCCTCATCATCCTCACTACAAACTACTTCTATCTCATTTGTGGTGATGCATTTGGCCATGGTGCTGTCCCTGAACTGTTTGTGAAACTCAGGGGCTACCACAAATAGTTCCTTGACAGGCAAGGCAATGCTGGTTTTGAGCACACACTCCATGATATGCTTGGGTGCAGCTTCATCTTTGAGTGGGAATGAG